CTCCTGTGGATCCGGCTGGTCTGGCTTCCGCCGTCTTCTGGGCTCTCTCTGCCGGGTAGGGCCCGCCGCCTGCGGGCCGTACCGACAGACCATCGTGGGAACAGGGCTCCGCCGGTCAGAAGTGGCGTCAAAGGGGAAGTGGCTACAGTCCTGCGTCGTGTGAAGATCTCCGCCTGTACGGGGCACTGTAGCCATGTCGAGCCCGGGATCCGGGGGTGAGGGGCTACACTGTAGCCTCACCCTGTCTTGTCCTCTTGACGAGAGGCGCAGACTTTGAGGGCACCGGGTGGCCGCCTGCTAGAAGTCGGCCTCTCCGGAGGCCGTCTGCTAGGAGTCGGCCGGTCTTGGCGCCGTCGGCTGGTGCTCGGCCGCCTTCGGGCGGTTCGAGCCAGCCGGTCACCGGAAGGCGGTGCTTCATTCTGGAGTCTCGCGAGGCGAAGCCGGCCCAAAGTCTTGAAATGCTCAGGGACTCGGGTTAGGCTACCCGTGGCCCATTACTCCGACAAGGGTCGTCAATCCTTGATCGCCAGGGCGACATAAATGTTCATCGGTCATGGGGCCATATAAACCTTACCTGTTACAGATTTCGGGTGACACACACAATACCTCTTGAGCCAGGGGCAGGGGCATCGTCAGACATGAAAGGGTGAAAGACTCGGATCTTAGACCCGGCCATGCATCTTGGATGTGCATTACAAACTTGGCAAAAGAGCTAAGTGAATCGCTCGTGGATTAAGTAGAGCACCTCTATAGAGTGTAATGAATTGTGGCTTGTCACTCCCTGATTTGGGAAAGATCCGCGAACACGGTGGGAAAGGAGTCTACTGGAGGTTCTAGCAACCTATGAAGTCTGATGATCACTTGGATGATAGTTCTACTGTCTACATGATGTCATCATCCTTATTGCAATGATCTATTTGTCATAAATTAAATACTTCCATATGCATTTTCTCATGTTTAGGTAGGACACAAAAGTTTGAACCACATATGGTTAATTTGTGTGGGGGTTAAATATTTGCTTAAGTTGTTAAAGCTTTCAATATATGGTTAGATCATAACCGGGGGTGGAGCTGACCCAACCCCTAGCCACATTCGGGGCATAATGTCCATGCACACATGTGTAGGATATTGTAGTGAACCATAGTAGTGTGCTATCGCTTAGTGCAACCTAGCTCCTCCCTTGGCTATAGGTAAGACCAAACAAAATAAGCCTGACCCCAAGAGATTTTTTATATTTTCTTGCAGTTTATACTTTTGGCTTCCTGGTTTCATGCGGTTTACACTCGTACATTTTTTGATTTCACGCAATTTACACTCCTTTTTCTCTCTAAGTAGAGTGGCGACACAAAATACGTGTTGATCTGTAGATAAGTACATAAGTTATGCATCACGCAACCCAGAAAGACCGCTCGAAGTTAACTTTTTCCATTGTTAGCTAGGACACAAGGCTGTACGCCACATAAAATGTTGAAAGTTCTTGGATATAGTTAAAATTTTCTATATATGGTTAACACAATTTTTATGCTATTTGAGTATAAAAACTCAAGTGTATATTTAGTATGCAAACTATAAATTTTGGCCTAGAGTTGTTTCTCCATTCATGCTTCGGACGTTTGTTCGATACGACCATTTTTCAAATACACGTTGTACATTTATTGAATTGGGACGATTTCTTTTTTATTAAACCACTCAAACATTTTTTAGTATTGTATAAACATTTCTATATAAATTCATGAACTTATTTTTAAAACCACAAGAATATTTCTTTGAATTGTCACATACATTTTCTTGAATTGTACAAAACAAATTTTTATACTACGCAAAAATTCATTCACATTGTATAAGTATTTCCAAAAAATGTGACATACATATTTTTGAAATACGTGAATTCTTTCTTAAATGTAACATACATTTTTATAGGGACGAAACATTTTTTTTGCAATGCACACACTTTTTCTTACATTGTATACACATTTAAAAATCACATATATCTTTTGAAATACAAAAAAAATGTAATCGTGACAAACATTTTTTAATGCTATCAACATTTTTTAAAGTTGTGCAAACATTTTGTATACACCACTGACCAACTTCTCAAATGGGAGTTGAGCGAGGATGTTGTCGAGCATCTCCGGTGGAAGCAACATCAATTAATCCGGGCCAGTCACCAATACCTCCTCAACCTACCGGTGTCTCATGGAGGAGGAACTCACGCTGCCATTCTCTCCATTGGGGAATTACAGACAATGACGGTGGGAGGGATGGGGTGTTGCAACTTCGTGTGCCGTTAATGCTACAACTATTGTGTAACCGTATGGACAATGTAGTGCCTTGGATGCAAAACTAGGGGCATACCAAACACGTGTGCGTGTGCTTGCATTATCGGCACCACACGCGTATGACAGGTGACGCCTTCCTACAATTCGTTATAAAGCCACGATATGCATCAATTTGACTTGAGATATTTTGCCAAGCCGAGTTGCCTCACTCTTGTGCTTACCCTCTACGCTTCCGGCACATTCGGCTAGAGGGTAAGGAGAGCAACTCTACGATTGTTACTTCCGGATTGACCGAGTAAGTAACTCAGACGGGTGAAGCCGAAAACTAGCGGTCACAAGAATATAATTGGTCATCAGCGAAGGAAGTGAAAATACAGTCTTCTCTTCAAAACAGAAGTAGAACGAGATTTCAAACCCGTCGAATCCAAAAATATTCCTGAAATAAAGGTCCTCAGACGCAAGTGCCGGAATTATTGGCTACCTGGTCGCAGTTAAATCGACACCCCGGGAAAAGGAACTGATAGAGGAACTATTTTTCGCTAAAGATGCGACTTGAGTTAAAAAGCAATATAGCATAACTCTCTGCAAGACTTACGTTTTGACCTTATGGCTGGATTGCCTTGTTCCTTCTAAGTGTGGTTCGATACTCTCGGTCCATTTGTAGGAACACTCCTCGGCCCCTGACCGAAGAGGTAGAATCCGATAGTTGGTTAACGAAGTATAACATCTGCGGATATGAGATATAAACTAAACGTACATAGATACATAAAGGTTATGTAAAATAGCATAAACTATTTTACATAAAGTTATTCAAAACCATCTATAAGTGTGTCCAGGCGATAATCCTTATCGGATAGCCGAGCTGCAGGCATGACGTTCTCATAATTCACGCTAGTTTTTATTTCTTCCCCGTCAGGCCCCGCAAGGCCAACTCGGGCTAGTTCCTCCATCTCTAGCAGACACTAGCATGTCTTGATCATGGCCCATGCTTCTCGAGCACCTTTACGGCAGGCTGATATCTGCCACGATTCGAATTCGATACATGTTACCATTTCTCAAATTCATGTTAGAGTTTTTTTAATTGGCATGAAACATTTTTGTAAAACCAATTAAACATGTTTTTCATTGTATAGACATTTGTTAAAATGCCACGAACATTTTAGAAACGAGCAAATATTTCCTCAAAATGTGACATACATTTTTTCCAATGGTAAGAAACAATTATTTTACAGTACTTATTTTAAAAAAATGTATAAATATTTTTCAAAAATGTGTCGTACATATTTGAAATAAGTAAACATTTTTTCTAAAATGTCACATACTTTTTTTTATTTGTATGAAACATTTTTTATGTAGTCACAAACTTTTTTTACACTGTATACACATTTTCCTAAATACCGGAATATTTTTTAATTGTCATGAACTTCTTTTTTATGCTTTCAAATTTTTTACAAGTTGCGCGAATATTTTGGTAAAACCGACCAACTTCTTAAAAGAGAGCCGAGCGAAGATGTTGTCAAGCATCTGTGGCAGAAGTGACATCGGGTAGTCCAAGCCAGGCCATTGGCTCCTCCTCCACCAATGAGTGACTCAATAGGTGAGGACAGCACATATATTGAATAGCCCATTAAGATTACCTATGGGTTCGAGCCACTAGCCCAGTGAAGGCCCACTAGCAAGTTTCTTGGAGCACTACTTCCTCAGCAACCAACCAACAATTGTGTTCCACATTCAAAAAAGAAAGGCTTACTACCTCCCTCTTGGGTCCAAGAAGTCCAATCTAGCTTTGAAGGCTAAGCAAGTTCAAGAACAAATCGACGAAGAAGAAGAAGAAGAGGGGGGGAAAAAAGTTCAAGAACCAATCAATGAAGAAGAGGAAAGCCATAATCCCATCCCACAATGACTTTGCCGCATAGCCTGTCGGGCAATGGCAAAATCTCACGGGAGAGAATGGCGCTTGAGCAGACACGCGGAAACTTGCTGAGCACCAATAGGGTATCTCATGAGAAGGGTGGCAAATGGCAACCTTCAGCCCCATCATCGCAGAGTCCAGCAATACTCTGGCTGCTCCTTCTTCTCCTGAAGTGAACCAACCCAACTGATCAACGTGGCTCCTTCTGGAAGCAGCGGCGTCGACGAGCAGTTCCCTCCATGGACGGACGGTTTTCTCTCGGAGTTACTCGCTTGAGTTTATTTCGTCCTCGATCAGGAGGCCACAAATGTGTGTGGTGTGTGCGGGCGCTCTTGCTTGCTTGCTTGTGGCATAAAGCATCACACCATTGACTGAAGGTTAGTACAATATGGACCTGAAAAGCATACGGTTTCAGCAAAATAACAACCTTGATATTGAGATCGTTTTGAGCCAAGAAAAGATAATAAATGGTAAGTGGTAACATCTACCAACAGCCTGTGAAACACATTCACCAGCGCAAATTCGCAATACCCTTTTGATTTGAAACCATCAATTCAGACACGACGTAACTTTTTTCTCGAAAGAGGCACGATCAGTTACCAATATCTCGTGTTGTCTGTCGACACCAGAAAATACCAACATAGTAGACTACCGGTAAACACAGCAGGGATTATACAATCTGCAAAAGAAAGCAGAATTCTGCTTGCAAGGCATTCGTAAGAGCTCAGTTCAGCATTACTGATTAAATGCTGTCTACGAACATTCTGCCATGTCATAGAGTTGATATAACTACGCGAGTCCGCCAGGTTTTAGGCTGGAAATTTTCTAGGCCTTAGTTCCAGCTGAGCTTGGGGAGACGCCTTTTCGCATGCTTCTAACTCTTCACATGCTTCCACATAAAATTCGGTTTCTTCTCCATAGTTGAAAGTGACGACAAAGGATTCAAGCAATCCTGTCTTGGACAGCAGAGACTTCATAAACCACATGTCATTTGGTAAGGAACCCATACCATACAGTGAGATGTGTTTGAGATTGGCAAACAAGTCATCGCTTATCTCTGCATCAAGAATATCCTGATCAATGGTGTCAGCACGGACAGCATCATCTAGCGCAGCAGGATCTAGATTTTTGAATAGGTAGGAACGATTCTCTGCCTACATAAGGAAGTCCAAAATTGCAGTGTCAATTAAACAACTCAATGCAGCAACGGTTGTCTGTTAACTGAGACATACAGGTTCAAGGGGTGCATCATATATTACCTGAATATGGAGTTCTTCAACGTGAGGGCCAAATCTCAGCAAAGAAAATATCGACCTGATGCTTGGGAGTTTGCCAAAATTTGCAGTCAGGTGTGCAGCCCTCAAGTTCTGAAACTTCCATGAAATCCCTTCCAGCGGATTTTCTTTAATCTGGAAAACATAACAACACAGTGATTAGACTAGCATATGGTCCTGATGCAACTTTACATTGGGATGGTATATAACAGTAATCAATTATGTCTATATAATACTTGAAGCTGAGAAGCTAAGAGTGATTTTGTTACCAATGTTTATTTGCTGCATCTAGAGTGTATTGCATGAATGAAATCACAATGTAAAAAACTGCATAGCTGATTTGCATAGGTGCCTGTCCATACGATCCTAACACTTCAAGCTTAAAAAAAAGGATCATAACACTTATCTAAAATGAAGGGCAAAGTCCCAGTCCTGTTACGTTAAAAGAAAAACTAAAAGGGTGAACACAGGAGTGCTTATCCACGCCCTAAACAACTATCATGACGGAGTAAACAAATAAAATAGTTACAACCAATCTCTTAACATTAATATCTCAGATGACTGCTCAATCCTCCACATAATAACGCAATCCTCTTAATAAATCAAAAAATTAGGGTTGAACCTTTGTAGAAAGGGATGGAAAACCGGACACATCCCAAGAGTTCAAAACCCGAAGAGAACAAGTTGCCAAAACGGACGTATCATATTTATTTCGGGTACCGTAATAGAACTCTTGTTAAGATGCTCCTTAAGTGTAAGGCAGCAACTTGTCTCTTCTATTAGGTTTTGGCAACACGTTGAGCAGGGGACACAAGTCACAACTCACAAACATCAGTGTGCTTCTTCCAACTAAGATAAACACAAGATGGAAAAAAACTAACACAGCAACATAAGCATAACCAACTGCACATTACGGAGGGCTCACAGTTTTTGTCCAACTAAAAGACAATGGATCTACTATCCTACTACCAAACGAACATCACCTTACGAGGTTAGTATGCCGCCTCAAATTGGAAGCCGGGCATTTACGAGGACAAGTTACAGAACTTTGATATGGAAAAACTTAGGCCCAGGCTCGATTTGGTCAGATGGATACTCCCTGGAACATCAAGCATTTATGGAGACTCTGAACCGCATTTGACATCCATTTTAAGGCAAACATCGACCCGACCCGCTGGCTCGTCATGACGACCAGACAAAAATGCAGTTTACAGCAAGAAATTTACAGAACTAGAATTGAGCATGCAACTGAAATTCAGAATTCGACTACTCAATACTCATTGCTCCATGGATATTTGACGCAATGTAGGGTACCTGTTTTGAGTCGGTGTAGAAGAAAAGCGTATTGACATTAGAAATCTGTGGAAAAGTGTCGACGAAGGCTGGGGTCCCTAACAGTACATCGATGGAGATGGACGCCACCTCCAGCAACTGGAGGTCCTCCGCGAGCCGGCATCCGTTGTCGAGGAAGATGGAGATGAAGAGCCTGAGGATACGGAGGCTGGGCGCCCGGATGGCGCAGATTTCGAGGCCAGCCCGGGCCCTGCCGGCTTTCAGGTTGTGCAGCGAGAGCTCCCTGAGGCCGGGCGCCGAGGAGATGAGGCGCTGGAGCTGCGCCGCGGCGCCGGGGAGACGGAGGAGCAGGTTGTCGAGGACGAGGGTGACGAGGTTGGGGAAGCCTTGGAAGCCCGGCGGGGCGCGCGGCAGGTGGCAGTAGCCGTAGAGCTCGAGGTCGGTGAGCGCGGCGCAGGAGAAGAGGGCGGGGCCGACGACGGGGGCCGAGTCGGGGTAGTCGAACCTGAGGACGAGCTTCTGGACGCGCTTGCGCGCCAGGGCGAGGAGCCAGCGGGCGGCGCGGTGGAAGTGGCCCATGCGGACGAGGGCGGTGAAGCCGCCGACGGGCGCGGAGCATCGCCACAGGGCGCGGGCGTCGGGCGCGGCGGCGGACCACGGGTCGTCGAACTGGATGTCGAGGCCGGGGACGGATTCCCAGCGGCGGCGCCAGGCGCGG